TATAATTGAAAGAATTAGAGGTAAGACAGAATGTAGGATTGCGGATGAGCAAGGAGGTTTCAGAGTGGTAGGGGATGTGTGAATCAAGTGTTTACATTGAAGCTTTTTTGTGAACAGTATTTAGATAAAGGTAGGGAAGTTTTTATTGCATTTATGGATTTAGAAAAGGCATATGATAGAGGGGATAGAGGAGCAATGTGGCAGATGTTGCAAGTTATGGAATAGGTGGTAAGTTTTTAAAATGCTGTAAAGAGTTTTTATGAGGATAGTGGGCTCAGGTTAGGGTGTGTAGAAGAGAGGGAGGCTACTTCCCGGTAAAAGTAGGTCTTAGACAGGGATGTGTAATGTCACCATGGTTTTTTAATATATTTATATATGGGGTTTTGTAAAGGAAGTAAATGCTAGGGTGTTTGGGAGAGGGGTGGGATTAAATTATGGGGAATCAAAATTTAAAATGGGAATTGACACAGTTACTTTTTGCTGATGATACTGTGCTTAGGGAGATTCTAAAGAAAAATTGCAAAGGTTAGTGGATGAGTTTGGGAAAGTGTGTAAAGGTAGAAAGTTGAAAGTGAACAAAAGAAAAGAGTAAGGTGATGAGGTGTCAAATGATTTAATAAAGAAAAATTGGTATCAAATTGGGGAGGGGGAGTATGGAAGAAGTGAATGTTTTCAGATACTTGGGAGTTGACGTGTCGGCGGATGGATTTATGAAGGATGAGGTTAATCATAGAATTGATGAGGGAAAAAAGGTGAGTGGTGCGTTGAGGTATATGTGGAGTCAAAAAACGTTATCTATGGGGGCAAAGAAGAGAATGTATGAAAGTATAGTAGTACCAACACTCTTATATGGGTGTGAAGCTTGGGTGGTAAATGCAGCAGCAAGGAGACGGTTGGAGGCAGTGGAGATGTCCTGTTTAAGGGGAATGTGTGGTGTAAATATTATGCAGAAAATTCGGTGTGGAAATTAGGAAAGGTGTGGAGTTAATAAAAGTATTTAGTCAGAGGGCAGAGAGGGGTTTTTGAGGTGGTTTGGTCATTTAGAGAGAATGGATCAAAGTAGAATGACATGGAAAGCATATAAATCTATAGGGGAAGGAAGGTGGAGTAGGGGTCGTCCTCGAAAGGGTGGAGAGAGGGGGGTAAAGGAGGTTTTGTGGGCAAGGGGCTTGGACTTCCAAACAAGCGTTGCCCTGAGCGTGTTAGATAGGAGTGAATGGAGACGAATGGTACTTGGGACCTGACGATCTGTTGGGTGTGAGCAGGGTAATATTTAGTGAAGGGATTCAGGGAAACCGTTTTTTTTCATATAGTCCGGACTTGAGTCCTGGAAAAAGGGAAAATACAAAAGCCTGCACTTTAAAGGAGGGGTTTTTGGGGTATTGGGAGTTTGGAGGGATATGTTGTGTATCTATATATGTTTATGCTTATAGACTGTTGTATTCTGAGCACCTCTGCAAAAACAGTGATAATGTGCGAGTGTGGTGAAAGTGTTGAATGATGTTGAAAGTATTTTCTTTTTGGTGATTTTCTTTCTTTTTTGGGTCACCCTGCCTCGGTGGGAGATGGCCGACTTGATGAAAAAAAAAAAAAAACATTCCACACATATGTATTGTCTCATATCAAGGCGCCAAAATTTACCGCTCGCAGCTTATCAGAGTGAGCTGAGCTCATGACGTAGATCTACGGTTTGGACCCTCAACGTAAAGCCATAGATCTACAGCACGGACCCCCAAGGGGTTAAAATACTCATTTTCACTTTGTTGTAATTTGTTTCCTGTAATTTTTACCACTGAATATATCATTGCTCTGAATATTTCATAATGCTCTGCATTATGTAATTCCTTGCACAACTATGTATCATGTTCAAATAAAAGTTGTTGTTGTTATTATTATTAATATTATTATTATATTTTTTTTTTTTTTTTTTTTTTTTTTTTCAACAAGTCGGTCGTCTCCCACCGAGGCAGGGTGACCCAAAAAAGAAAGAAAATCCCCAAAAAGAAAATATGTGATGAATGGTTTGAAAAACCGACAAGTTGAAGATTGAGACACTTATGCAGCATACGGGAATCTTTATTCAGGAAACGTTTCGCCACACAGTGGCTTTATCAGTCCAATACAAAGAGGAAGGCGTAAGGAGAGGAGGAGTATGAGGTAATCAGTCCCTCAGCCTGGAGTCGATGTGTTCAGTCCATCAATCTTGTAGATTGATGTGTTCAGTCCATCAATCTTGTAGATTGATGAACTGAACACATCGACTCCAGGCTGAGGGACTGATTACCTCATACTCCTCCTCTCCTTACGCCTTCCTCTTTGTATTGGACTGATGAAGCCACTGTGTGGCGAAACGTTTCCTGAATAAAGATTCCCGTGTGCTGCATAAGTGTCTCAATCTTCAAAAAGAAAATACTTTCATCATCATTCAACACTTTCACCACACTCACACATTATCACTGCTTTTGCAGAGGTGCCCAGAATACAACAGTTTAGAAGCATATACGTATAAAGATACACAACATATCCCTCCAAACTGCCAATATCCCAAACCACTCCTTTAAAGTGCAGGCATTGTACTTCCCATTTCCAGGACTCAAGTCCGACTATATGAAAATAACCGGTTTCCCTGAATCCCTTCACTAAATATTACCCTGCTCACACTCCAACAGATCGTCAGGTCCAAGTATCATTCGTCTCCATTCACTCCTATCTAACACGCTCATGCACGCTTGCTGGAAGTCCAAGCCCCTCACCCACAAAACCTCCTTTACTCCCTCTTTCCAACCCTTTCGAGGACGACCCCTACCCCTCTTTCCTTCCCCTATAGATTTATATGCTTTCCATGTCATTCTACTTTGATCCATTCTCTCTAAATGACCAAACCACCTCAACAACCCCTCTTCTGCCCTCTGACTAATGCTTTTATTAACTCCACGTCTTCTCCTAATTTCCACACTCCGAATTTTCTGCATAATATTTACACCACACATTGCCCTTAGACAGGATATCTCCACTGCCTCCAACCGTCTCCCTCGCTGCTGCATTTACCACCCAAGCTTCACATCCATATAAGAGTGTTGGTACTACTATACTTTCATACATTCCCTTCTTTGCCTCATAGATAACGTTTTTGACTCCACATATACCTCAACGCACCACTCACCTTTTTTCCCTCATCAATTCTATGATTAACCTCATACTTCATAAATCCATCCGCCGACACGTCAACTCCCAATATCTGAAAACATTCACTTCTTCCATACTCCTCCCCCCCAATTTGATATCCCATTTTTCTTTATCTATAATCATTTGACACCCTCATCACCTTACTCTTTTCTATGTTCACTTTCAACTTTCTACCTTTACACACATTCTCAAACTCATCCACTAACCTTTGCAATTTTTCTTTAGAATCTCCCATAAGCACAGTATCATCAGCAAAAAGTAACTGTGTCAATTCCCATTTTGAATTTGATTCCCCATAATTTAATCCTACCCCTCTCCCGAACACCCTAGCATTTACTTCTTTTACAACCCCATCTATAAATATATTAAACAACCATGGTGACATTACACATCCCTGTCTAAGACCTACTTTTACCAGGAAGTATTCTTCGTCTCTTCTACACACCCTAACCTGAGTCTCACTATCCTCATAAAAGCTCTTTACAGCATTTAGTAACTTACCACCTATTCCATAAACTTGCAACATCTGCCACATTACTCCTCTATCCACTCTATCATATGCCTTTTCTAAATCCATAAATGCAATAAAAACTTCCCTACCTTTATCTAAATACTGTTCACATATATGCTTCAATGTAAACACTTGATCTACACATCCCCTACCCACTCTGAAGCCTCCTTGCTCAACCGCAATTCTACATTCTGTCCTTACCTCTAATTCTTTCAATTATAACCCTACCGTATACTGTTCCTGGTATACTCAGTAAACTTATTCCTCTATAATTTTTACAATCTCTTTTGTCCCCTTTCCCTTTATATAAAGGGACTATACATGCTCTCCTGCCAATCCCTAGGTGCCTTCCCCTCTTCATCATTTATTAAACAAAAGTACCAACCACTCCAACACTATAGTCCCCCCTGCTTTTAACATTCTGTCATGATCCCATCAGTTCCAGCTGCTTTACCCCCTTTCATTCTACGTAATTGCCTCATGTACCTCCCCACACTTACATTCTGCTTTCTTCACTCCTAAAAGATGGTATACCTCCCTGGCCAGTGCATGAAATTACCACCTCCCTTTCTTCCTCAACATTTAAAAGTTCCTCAAAATATTCTCGCCATCTACCTAATACCTCCCTCTCCCCATCTACTAACTCCCCTACTCTGTTTTTAATGGACAAATTCATACTTTCCCTAGGCTTTCTTAACTTGTTTAACTCACTCCAAAATTTTTTCTTATTTTCATTACAATTTCTTGACAGTGCCTCTCCCACTCTATCATCTGCTCTCCTTTTGCACTCTCTCACCACTCTCTTCACCTTTCTTTTACTCTCCATATACTCTGCTCTTCTTATAACACTTCTGCTTTGTAAAAACCTCTCGTAAGCTTCCTTTTTCTCTTTTATCACACCCTTTACTTCATCATTCCACCAATCACTCCTCTTTCCTCCTGCCCCCACCCTCCTATAACCATATTATTATTATTATTATTATTATTATTTATTATTATTATTATTAAGTGGACACTGAGAGCAATATTAATTTTAGTAGTCTGGGCAGTGAAAAGATTAAGAAGCTCTTTTAGCTCTGGAAGCCAATACTCCATGCCTATGTGCCCCATACCACATGGCTCTTGTGAGTTTTAATGTCAGCTGTAGCAAATTATAAAGAATGTAAGAGACCCTGGATAAGTCATTATCTTTTTATCACGTGCATTGTGATTACAACCAGACTTAAAATAATTGTTAAATTCTTTTTGTAAATTAGTCTTCAGTAAACAAATTAATATTAATTTCATCATTTTTTTTTTCCAGAAGATAATAAAAGTGTTGATGTGGTTGGAGGAGGCACATCACGTCTAACAGAATCTAGCTCCTCCTCTTCAGACAGTGATTCATCTTCATCATCATCATCATCATCATCTTCAGATTCCTCAGACTCAGAAGCAGGTTAGATGTGCATTTCTCACACTTCGAAACAAAACATTTTTGTATCATCGTGACCAATATTGTTATGTCAGTCAGCTGATATATTTTTCTCATTTTTTATTCATTTGTACATAGTCAGTTCATTCCTAGTGTGTCGGATAAGCCATGGCACATGAACTTATTTATATTTATAAGTTAAGCTTGGGGCTGTGTGGTTCCTACCAAGCCCTGAACATGACAGTGCTGCCTTTCACAACTTTTTTTATACAACTGTTCTCACAACTATTCATTTTCTTTTTATACTCCTCCATTGCTTGTATTCTTGGTCTTAATTCGCTTCACTGTCTATACTCTATTTTACTTTGTCTTAGAAAGTTTAATATTATTATGTTAATGACTTGTCTCTCCCCACCACTGTGGACACAAGAACAAGGCACAAAGATTGTACTGTAAGGATCAGGCCAGAGTGCAGGGATGTGTTTAGGGGTCAGCGAGTTTGTGCACTGGGATGCGATGTGGAGCTGTTGGTTGGCAGGAGCGAGGTCAGACTGGTTTACACCTACACATGGCAGACAATGTGAATGGTGGCTTATTGCTCACTGTTTCACTTGCAACTGAGTGCCAGAGAAGGTTGAATAAAAATGGGTTGGGATTGTTGTAAGGGAAATAAAGGGGTAGAGGTTTGTTGCATTACCTCTCTCTTGTTTGTATCAGTTCAGTATGTTGTTTTTCATTAGTTGTGTTGGGGCCGCAAAGTTTGTTATTGTTCTGCTGTCACTGCCTTGGACCAAGTGAGCACATGATGGTGCCGGCTTGCTGGCCTCCAACACATTGTTTGCACTCGCTGGCTTCATGTGGTCTGGATCCATAGGCCACAAGGTATCATCACAACCCCACTGCAGAAGACACTCAACCCTGCCACTCAACTTGTAGCTACTCGGTGTTCAAGTCTTGTGTTGCAGTGGCAGACATGTTGATACCTTGTTCTGCGGTGGAAGGGGTCTAGCTTGTCAGTACCTGAGAGCGGGAGGAGCTAATAAAAGACTTGTAATGTTGGCTAAACCTTCCTTCCACCTTAGTGCAGTAACCTCTCAAAGAGTGAGTGTTTGAATGAGTGCAAAAGTAAGAGTGAGGATGTTAGCAGACTGCTGTACCTGCTTGAACACCAATATTGAAAAACATGGTGCATCATAATTCCAATACTGTGTAACTGTAAAGCTCCATCTGAAAATAGGCTTAAGTTCATTATTTAAAGAATTTGTACTTTCACAATATTTTTTATTCCACAAAAATAAATTTAAATTTTGTAACCTTAGGTGATGCTGTGAGATAATATAAGGATTGTAATGATTCTCCATAGATGTAAGAGCAGGAATTTGCTGCTATCGCATCTATTAGGTCTAGTTTATCTTGTGTATTTAGGTGCGTTTGCTTCATTTCCAGTGAGCAATAAGCTATCAGTTGAACATTGCCATGCGTTATTGTGAGCCCGTGGCCAGACCACCAATGTACATAAAAACTAAGAAAGTGCTATGTACTCCTCCTGGTGCATCACTGTCAACTTAACATGTGTTTGTGTCTTTATTAGCAGATACAAATGTTGTATTATAAAAAATAAACAAGTCATCCTTCTAATTAAATTTTTCCTTGTCCCATGTTGTCCCCTGGACACAGATTGCACTCTGGTGATCCTCATATAACACATACACACGAACTGGTGCTTGTGGATAACTTTATTTTATCTTTTATGTTTCCTGTGTTAGAGTAGGTTTTCTCACACACCGACACCTGCAGCATGCTGTACCAGATGGTAAGTGTAAATAACACACAGTGTCAGCTCGACATGCAGATTGCTATGAAACATTTAAAAGGCATTAGAAAATTTTTAACTGATGCCCCAGGCATTATTTAATTCTTTATATATGTGACCAGTTTCTGCAATGAAGATTGACCACATATAGGGTGTTCCAGAAGTCTAGACCTGTTAAGTATGCAATTTATACCTAATTAATCTGTTACTCAAACTGAATATCGTTAACATTCATAAACATTAATTATGTCACAATTTTTCTTTAAAGTTTGTTGAGCTTGGCCCATGGCCAGGCTCTTGAGAGTAGTTAAACTCTCGAAACTCTTCAAGGGTATATCAGAGATGAAACACTAATAAGGGAGCAGCATTCTCTGTGTTTTCCTTCAATGCTTCAATACTGTTTGGGTCGAGTGTTTTCTAACACCCTGTATATTAACTTCAAGACGACCAATTGACCTGAGACTCCATTGATGTCTGCTCTTCAAGGTTTCAGCCACCCATGAAGTACTGCCGATAATGATGGGTATTTACATCACCTAATAATGAAGTGAAACTATTATTCAGAAAAAATGAAGAATCATACATGTGCTGAACTTCTAAAATATTTTTAATTCGTGAATTATTTTTCTGTCTACTTTTTTTGTGTGCTGATACATATGTATGTGAACTCGTTGAGTTGTGCCTGCAGGAGAGTGAGGTAAGATTCATCTTTAATTTTTAGGGGGCACACTTCATATATGCAACTAAAATCCATGAATAAGTTTTTTCCCCACTAATTTTTCTCACAGTTGTTTCCCTTTTTTACCTCCCTTACATGAAAATATATTTGTAAATGTCACTGTGACTGATTCTGGTGGTGAACTTTTCCTACATCAAAACCTTTTTATCATCTTGTGAAAATCTTCCCAGGCTCTTCAGTTCTCACCCTTGAACAGTTTTACCCCTGGGGAAAAAGCTTTTGGCAAACTTTTTTACCTTTTAAAAATACTACATTTGTAATTATCAAAAAATGCCTTAAAAAATAAGGTATCCTGAATATTTTTAGGGTTGTTTCATTTTTTCTTTGTGCCCTCATTAGGGAAGTTTGGAGTTAATGTAAATTCTCCATGTTTAATCACTAAGTTTGCTTACCAGAAATTTTATTTATTTCCTAGCAGTGCCTCTTAATCTACTCACCTGATATGATCTACTATTTCTTCTACTGTATTGTTCATTTCACTTCTTCATTACCCTCATTAGATACCCTTTATTGTGTCTCCATTTGTCATTTGGTGGTGGTCATTTGTATCTCTCTCTCTTGGAGCCTCCCATGTTAAATTGCCTGTCCTTGTCAACTCTTGTAGTATTTTGGTGTTGATCCCATCTATTTTTAGTTGTCTCCTGCAGTGTGTTTCCTCAGACAGTTTGATTTGAACCTTTCTCAGTATAAATTGACAAAAGCACAGCTTTGACTAGCACATTAGTGAAACTGTTTTACTTGCATTCTACCAAAAGGAAAAAATAATATAGAAATAACAGAAGCATTTGCAAAGAAAAAAGTTAGAAAGTTGAAGATGGAAATGACATAAGCAGCAAGTAGTGGTGTATGTAAGTATGATCAAAAGCAACAATTTGAAAGGCAAAAATTTTGACTTGTCAGATGTGTACAACTACTAGGCTCATTCACTGATAACGGATTAGGTGAAGATTATGAAGAAAACGCCAGTGAGAAGGACAAAATAGGTAAGTGATTGTTCAACAGGGAAAGAAGAAATTTAAAGTAATAAGGTTTTCTGCTTTGTATACTTATGCTTTTCCCTCTCTCTCTAAATGGAATATTAACATATTTAAGTTAAGAGCATTACAAAATTGTTACTACTAATAAGAGAGACATTCAAGTTTGATTTTGCTATTGGTGGGCCTACTTTTACAAAACATTTCAGATATTTTTGTGCAAGGACACATGCAGGCTCTGGTATTAAATCTAGTACTTTGTATTGTGTATAGAAATGTAGGTGTGTATGTATGTTTGTCTTGGTCTATTTCTATGCAGTGACCAAAGTGATAGTGCAACATACCTAATTGGACCACCTCTGCTAGATGAAGATTTATCTTAAACTTGCACGTGTGTATGTTTACAATCAACTTGTTCAAAGAAAATTAAGACAGAACATTGTCACATTTTCCCCAAGAAAGTGGAAGGAAAAATAACAACCTTTTACAACAGGTAATTTGGATGTATATATTTTATTGTGCATTTATTTGATTTCCTGTTTTCGATGCAAGCATTATAGGAATAAGCATAATTTGTTGGTTACAAAGTAGAGTGCCTTATCAAAATGGATGCATATGCTGCTAGAGAATAAGTATTCATAATGCGATCCAAATTTGTGAGAGATTCTTTATGCAAATGGTCTGAGGTAGTGTAGTGCCACATTTACTGCATAGTGTCAGTCCAGCTGAGGAACTGTGTTGTTACTTTTAAGGAGCATATCATAAAATAGCATGGACTTGCTTCACTTTTGAAATGGTAAGGGAAAATCTAGGGAAAAAGTTCAAATTGCTGTTCATAAGGTTTATAAGAGGTGGAAGGAATTGATGTCTAAAAGATACGGTGCCTCCACAATTACTTTGTGATGTACCAGACTTTAATCCTTGTTGTCTAGATGTGAATAGGGCAAATTGGGACTGTTAAGTTACCCACTTTATTTACCTGGTTTGACTGCACTGGACTTTTACCTGATTGACAACCTGGAAAATGCAGTGCTCAGGAATACAGTTAAACTGCATGAATTTATCCCAGTAGAATCCTTCGTGGGTTTGTTACTCGTTACTTAATTAAATGCTAATAGTGACCACTTTTAACATCAGTCATAGTGAACAGTGTCTCCAAAACTTTGTGGTTGCCCAGTAAAGAAGTAAGGGAGTCTTAAAGTAATGCTTTGGTGCTTAGTTTTCCAACTGTAGAAACAAAATGGGAGGTTGAGGTTTCCTTGGCTTCCTGTTTTCCCGCTAGTGTAGCTTGTGTCATCCTGGCACTGATGGCAGAGGTTCCTTGTTTCTTGATGAATTTGTTTTTCTGATTGAATTCCTTCCAATGAAGAGTGGTCATCATCTTGTGTGTGGTGGCTTAATTACTGGATTGATTGTTGACAGTAAAAGCCCTGTTCATATGAGATACTGGAGATAATAAATTATAAAAGAAAAAAAAGCACTGTTATCATCCACCCATGTTGTTGGCCTTATTATACTTGGTTTTGCTTACTACCAATTTGCAGATTATTAAAGTTGTTGTGGTAATACCTCTTGGTATTATTGTCTTATCATAGTGTTTTGATCTTAGCCTTGACATGCTAGTTCCACTGTCTTGTGAGCACATACTATCATTCCATAATCATTTTGATGACTTAGATTATGTACTTCTGAATCATGGTTTGATTATACAGAAGCCTTTAGGGATGTTGTGAACAAGGTTTTAACTAGTAAGGTGAAATACTAGAGAGAGAAAATTTAACAACTCATTTAGTCATGTATCTGAACCTGCTTTGCCTTCCTCTCATTCTGCTTTTCAGTTGACTTAGGCCTTCTCAAAATATTTTGGTCACTGTAGAGAATATTCAGTTGGACTAGGATTCATCTGGAGCATGTGCTGAGTTCTCTTTGATTTCTCTGGCTAGTAATGCATTGCAAACGACCTTTACTCAGTTTGCTCCAGGCAGTGAGGAGGGTGTTTTGGAGTATAATGTGTTCCACTAAGACATTGCGAGTTATGTCCTACATGTTTCAAAGCTCTTAACTACATAAGAAAAAGCTGTTCCTTTTATGACTTGTGTTGATAAATCACTTGCAGAGCATATGTTTTCCAGTCATTAAATTTAGATTTGGTTTGCCTGCTTCTCAAGAAGTCTTCCCTTGATTTGGAAAACACTTTAAAATAGCATCCTGTCTAATCTTATGTTCTTTTCTAAATTGATTGAACATGCTAATATTAAGAATTTTTTCCTTTTCTTGAGTGGAGTAATGTTTTGCTGTATGCAGACCATTTCATTCAACTGAGACAGCTTTGCGTAATGTTTTATGATGATTTAATACTGAACACTTGTTTAGGATTTTTTTTTTTTTTTTTTTCTCCTCAACAAGTCGGCCGTCTCCCACCGAGGCAGGGTGACCCAAAAAAGAAAGAAAATCCCCAAAAAGAAAATACTTTCATCATCATTCAACACTTTCACCACACTCACACATTATCACTGCTTTTGCAGAGGTGCTCGGAATACAACAGTTCAGAAGCATATACGTATAAAGATACACAACATATCCCTCCAAACTGCCAATATCCCAAACCCCTCCTTTAAAGTGCAGGCATTGTACTTCCCATTTCCAGGACTCAAGTCCGACTATTTGAAATTACCGGTTTTCCTGAATCCCTTCACTAAATATTACCCTGCTCACACTCCAACAGATCGTCAGGTCCCAAGTATCATTCGCCTCCATTCACTCCTATCTAATACGCTCATGCACGCTTGCTGGAAGTCCAAGCCCCTAGCCCACAAAACCTCCTTTACTCCCTCTTTCCAACCCTTTCGAGGACGACCCCTACCCCTCCTTCCTTCCTCTATAGATTTACAGTGGACCCCCGCATAACGATTACCTCCGTATGCGACCAATTATGTAAGTGTATTTATGTAAGTGCGTTTGTACGTGTATGTTTGGGGGTCTGAAATGGACTAATCTACTTCACAATATTTCTTATGGGAACAAATTCGGTCAGTGCTGGCACCTGAACATACTTCTGGAGTGAAAAAATATCGTTAACCGGGGGTCCACTGTATATGCTTTCCATGTCATTCTACTTTGATCCATTCTCTCTAAATGACCATACCACCTCAACAACCCCTCTTCTGCCTCTGACTAATGCTTTTATTAACTCCACACCTTCTCCTAATTTCCACACTCCGAATTTTCTGCATAATATTTACACCACACATTGCCCTTAGACAGGACATCTCCACTGCCTCCAACCGTCTCCTCGCTGCTGCATTTACCACCCAAGCTTCACATCCATATAAGAACATAAGAACATAAGAAAGGAGGAACACTGCAGGAGGCCTGCTGGCCCATACTAGGCAGGTCCTTTACAATTCATCCCACTAACAAAACATTTGCCCAACCCAATTTTCAATGCCACCCAAGAAATAAGCTCTGATGTGAAAGTCCCACTCAAATCCAACCCCTCCCACTCATGTATTTATCCAACCTAAATTTGAAACTACCCAAAGTCCCAGCCTCAATAACCCAACTAGGTAGACTGTTCCACTCATCAACTACCCTATTTCCAAACCAATACTTTCCTATGTCCTTTCTAAATCTAAACTTATCTAATTTAAATCCATTACTGTGGGTTCTCTCTTGGAGAGACATCCTCAAGACCTTATTAATATCCCCTTTATTAATACCTATCTTCCACTTATACACTTCGATCAGGTCTCCCCTCATTCTTCGTTTAACAAGTGAATGTAACTTAAGAGTCTTCAGTCTTTCTTCATAAGGAAGATTTCTAATGCTAGGTATTAATTTAGTCATCCTACGTGTTGGTACTACTATACTTTCATACATTCCCTTCTTTGCCTCCATAGATAACGTTTTTTGACTCCACATATACCTCAACGCACCACTCACCT